ACACACACACACACACACACATGGCCCTCCTCCTCCAGATACGGAATACTTTTGTTCTGTGTTTTCATCAGGAGTGCAGTGAATTGAGAGCGAGAGACAGTGTGACAGAAGAGACGCTTCAGGTTAGTGTGAGCTTCTGTTCTTCCTTCTGTTGATTTCTCATCAGTGTTTGTGAAGGACATCACGTCTCTCTCCTGCAGGTCTGTCATGGGCCACTGGTCGATGCCTGTGGCTGTTCTGATGCTCCTCATTGGTCAGATTTGCGCAGGTAAGACGCCGGATCTATAGCACACTATCTGATGCGATACTGTAGCTAACAGCTGCATGGTTACAATTTTATTTCTAATAGTATTGATCTTGGAAGTAAAGTAGTTTATAAAGTCATTACTGCTGTGCTGTTGGGAAATGTCAACACTTGTTGATGCTTTATTTTTTGTTAATTTAGCCACTGTATTGAATAAATACCTGGGGTTGTTTGTTTTCTTCTAAAAGAGATGAAAAGTAATCAGATCTAGCAGTTTTTAATGCTTTTCTGTAGGATAGGGTACTTTCCCACCATGCGATACGAAATACCTCTAGTTTTGTTTTCCTCCAGCTGCGCTCCATTGTCCGGGCTGCTCTCTTTAGGGTGCGAGTGTGCTTATTATACCATGGTGTCAGACTGTTTTCCTTAATCTTCCTTAAGCATAAAGGAGCAACCGTATCTAAAACGCTAGAAAAGAGAGAGTCCATCGTTTCTGTTTCATCATGAAGTTGTTCTGAGCTATTGGATATGCTGAGCAATTGAGATAAATCAGGAAGATCTATCAGGAAGAGGAAGAGTGTGTGTGTGTGTGTGTACCTGGTATTTATCACGTCATAGAGACCAAATGTCCCTACAAGGACATTTTTTTAGCTCCCCATGAGGAAAAAAGCTTATAAATCATACAGAATGAAGTTTTTTTTTAAATCTAAAAATGCACAAAGTCTCCTGTGAGGGGTAGGTTTAGGGGTAGGGTTGGTGTAGGGCAATAGAATATACGGTCTGTACAGTATAAAAACCATTACGCCTATGGAGAGTCCCCACTTTTCACAAAAACAAACCTGCGTGAGTGTGTGTGTGTGTGTGTGTGAGGGTGTGTGACTAGAACATCTGGTTCTGATTTGGCGTGTGTTGATACTGACAGAACCATTCAAACACATGAGATTTCACACATGAACTGCTGGAGTCCATCCAGAACCCCGAGGCGCATCTGTATCAGCACCCAGAAGAGTTGAACAAAACTAATGTGTGGCATTACTGCTTCATCAGCGGCTAAAGGGGCAGTTCATCCTAAAAGCATAATTTTGTCAGCATTTACTCTCCTCATGATTTTGACAGATGTCTTTTTTCTGTGGAGATGTTCAGGTGAATGTTCACACACCATACATGATTACAGCTGTCAAACATCATTGTTTATAAGGATTAGTCCATTTTTGTTTCCATTTAGTTTATTTTTAATTTAATTTACTTTTGTTTATTTTAATTATATTTTAGTGCTTTGACTATTAGAAGGCGCTTTATAAATAAATGTATTATTGTTGTTAAAGTATCATAACTTGTGCACGGATGATATTTAGATTTTTAGTTGCTTTTGTGTTCTGAAGAACAAGGAAAGTTACACGGGTTTGAAATTACATGAAGGCAAGACAATGAGAGATTTTTGGGTGAACTTTCGCTTTAAGCTTGAGATGATTCTGTACAGAATCAGTCAGTTTTTCTAGAATTGTGTACATGAAGACGCAACTGTGTTCTGCAATCTGCATTGTTATTTTGTTGGTCTGTAGGTTTGTGAGATGGATGGAATGACTGACCTGGAGTCAGTGTTTGGGAAAATTACTTTTAAAAGTAATGCATTACAATAAAAAAGTTAACTAATTGCTTTACTTAAGTTACTTTTTTTTGGAAAGTAATGCATTATGTTACTTTTGCATTGCTTTTTTTCATCTGAGCTGGGCTTGCTTTTTTTTTTTAAGTTATATTTTTGGCAAATGTAAAAGCCCTTTCACACCAAAAGGGAAATGAATAAGCTTCAGATAAAAATAGATAACGGATATTTGTGTCATTTAACACATTTAATTATTGCAGGTTTGCATCATATTCTGAGTTTGCATTTGACTGTTTAGATTGATTTTGAGGAATACTGAATCTGCTTTTGTGTAAGTGAGATGAGTAAATGCATGTTGACATTTAGTCTAGAACAGTGTTGGGTGTAATGCATTACAAGTAACATGAAATATGTAATCAGATTACTTTTTTGAAGTAGCTAGTAAAGTAATGCATTACTTTTTAATTTAGAAGGAAATACCTGAGTTACTTTTTCAAATAAGTAGCTCCAGTTACTTTGTTTCCATGTATTGACTGACAGCTGTGGTGTTGCCACGGTGACAGAAATCAGGAGTAAGTGCAGAGCGTTGTGTGTGAACATGATCTTACTCTTACTTACATTTAAACAATTGTAGTATCAAGCTGCAACATAACAAAATTGAAAAAAGTGAAGGGGGTTTGAATGCACTGTGTGTCTGTGTCTGTGTGTGTGTGTGTGTGTGTATATAGAATATACAGTGGGTACGGAAAGTATTCAGACCCCCTTAAATTTTTCACTCTTTGTTATATTGCAGCCATTTGCTAAAATCATTTAAGTTAATTTTTTTTCCTCATTAATGTACACACAGCACCCCATATTGACAGAAAAACACAGAATTGTTGACATTTATGCAGATTTATTAAAAAAGAAAAACTGAAATAACACATGGTCCTAAGTATTCAGACCCTTTGCTCAGTATTTAGTAGAAGCACCCTTTTGAACTAATACAGCCATGAGTCTTTTTGGGAAAGAGGCAACAAGTTTTTCACACCTGGATTTAGGGATCCTCTGCCATTCCTCCTTGCAGAGCCTCTCCAGTTCTGTCAGGTTGGATGGTAAACGTTGGTGGACAGCCATTTTTAGGTCTCTCCAGAGATGCTCAATTGGTATATATATATCATATGGTGTTTTCTGTGCTGTCTGTGAGTCATTACCAGCTCAGATCTGTGAACCTTGAGCAGCAGATGAAGTAACGTCTGCTGGAGGCCGATGGAGAAGTGTGTTTAACAGGGAACATCCTGCAGCACTTACAGAGAGGATCTATTAAAATGCTGCTCATGACAGGAAGTTTAATGCAAAAACATCAAAGACTGCGGAGGTGGCAATCCTGTGGGAAAACTCATGAAACATAACAAGCCCTGAGAGCGGAAACACTCCTGTGAAAGCTGTGTGAGACACGTGTGTGTGAGTGTGTTATAGTCAGTGCTGGGGGAACGCATTACAAGTAACGTGAGTTACGTAATCAGATTACTTACGTAACTAGTAAAGTAGTGCATTACTTTTTCATTTAGAAGGAAATATCAGAGTTACTTTTTCAAATAAGTAACGTCTGTTACTTTGTTTCCATGTGTTGAGTGACAGCTCTGGTGTTGCCATGGAGACAGAAATCAGGAGTCAGTGCAGAGCGTTGTGTGTGAACATGATCTTACTGTAGTTCTAGACTCAATATCAACATGTGTTTACTCATCTCACTGCACACAAACACATTCAGTGCTCCTCACAATCAATAAATACTGTCAAATGCAAACTCAGAATATTATACAAACCTGCAATAATTATGGTAAATAAGACAAATATCATTTATGTATTTAATCCCATTTTATTAACCGATGTCTTTGCTACTGACCTTCGATGATTTAGTTCAAGCATACTAAGCAAAAATAACACATTTGTGTTTCATTTTAGTTATTGCTGAATAGTGTTGAACTTTCTTCTCCTCGTCATATTCTTCATGTGATTAGTTTGAGCGGCGCCCTCTACTGTACAGACGTGAATTTACATTTCCTTCAGCCCGAGGCGTATTCACTTCACTTTTGATGTGAAAGGGCTTTTACATTTGTAAAAGAATAACTTTTTTATATTAAAAACAAACAAGCAAGCCCCACCCAGATTTAAAAAGTAACTCAAAAGTAACGTTACGCATTACTTTCCATAAAAAGTAACTAAGTAACGTAATTAGTTACTTTTTTAAGGAGTAACGCAACATTGTAATGCATCACTTTTAAAAGTAACTTTCCTAACACTGGTTATAGTGTGTGTGTGTGTGTGTAACATGAGCTCTCATCATCTGTTGTCATCAGTATTCAAACAGTGTGTTGTTGTATCCGTATTTCCTTGTGTCCAGATGATTGTGTTCATGTTTGAGCTGATCCATTTCCAATCTCTGATCCATTTCCAGCAACGCTAAGCAGTGCAGCTGTGTGATTGATGTTTAATGTGTTTTGCACATAATTCATGTAATTGCACTGTAATTCATGTATTAACAGTAGATCTGTGTGAGTGTGTGTGTGTGAGTGAGTGTGTGTGAGTGAGTGTGAGCGTGCGTGTGTGTGTGTGTGAGTTCGTGAGTGAGTGTGTGTGAGTGAGTGTGAGCGTGCGTGTGTGTGTGTGTGAGTTCGTGAGTGAGTGTGTGTGAGTGAGTGTGAGCGTGCGTGTGTGTGTGTGTGAGTTCGTGAGTGAGTGTGTGTGAGTGAGTGTGAGCGTGCGTGTGTGTGTGTGTGTGTGTGTGAGTGTGAGCGTGCGTGTGTGTGTGAGTGAGTGTGAGTGAGTGAGTGTGTGTGAGTGTGTATGTGTGTGCGTGTGTGAGTGTGCGTGTGTGTGCGTGTGCGTGTGTGTGTGAGTGTGTGTGTGTGAGTGTGTGCGTGTGTGTGTGAGTGTGTGTGAGTGTGAGTGTGTGTGTGTGTGAGTTC